GAAGAATCAAGTCCCGGGGTTCTCGCCCGATCCCATCAAGATTCCGGCTTTGACTAGCTCGGAGGAGAGGGATAGATTGCTTTGTCCCTGTAGGGCTCTTAGGTTTTATCTCGATAAAACCAGGGGGGGGCGGGGCTCCAGATCCCGTCTATTTTTGCCTATCAAACAGGGACAGCAAGACATCTCCTCCCAGTCGGTGTCTAGGTGGGTATGCCAGGTCATTAAGTATGCTTATGAGCATTCTGATGACCAGGCTCGGGCGAGGGTGAGAGTGCGGGCTCATGAGGTAAGGGCCCTCGCTGCATCCTGGGCCCTTCTTAATGGGTCCTCCTTTCAGGAGGTCATGTCTGCTGCCTTCTGGCGGGGCAGGGATACATTTACAGATTTTTATCTGAGATCCCTGGCTTCCCACTCAGAGGGTTTGTATTCTTTGGGACCTCTGGTGGTTGTACAGTCTGTGGCTGTGCCCCCCGTTAGCCCCGGGGCTCGTCTTTTCCGTTTGGCGGCACGTGGTTTACCTGCTCGGTCACGGGGAGGTTGCCCCTTCTTATTCTATGCACTCTGTCCCCCCTCCCTACCAAGTTTAGTGTGCTAGATGGGCTGCCTGGCTGCTAGTCACCACTACGGTAAGACGAATTCGCATACTAAAGTTATGGTAATTATTACTGAAATGAAATTGAGGTTTTTTTAATGTAAAACCAATTTTCATGAGGTAATACTTACCATAACTTTATGGAGTCCCACCCTTTCCTCCCCTCTTCCTATCTGCCTGACTGCCCCTCTACGGGTGCTACATAAAGGCTAAGAGGAAGGGAAATAACTCTATGTTCATGACGTGAAGGCTCATGGTCGTAGGGAGGGCGGGATTTTTGAATCTTTTGTTTTTGGGATACAAAGATGAAAATTGGTTTTACATTAAAAAAACCTCAAATTACATATTAGAGTTGTCTCCCTTAAATATACTTTCCTAAGTTATTGAGAGTAATATGAGTCCATTCAATCTCACTATGAAATGAGTAACAAGTTAAGTAATAGAGTCCAAAAATAACAGTGTCCAAGAAAACTTAGTTATAAATAAATATTTACCTTGGCAGAATAGGGCCATCCACAGCCTTGTTACGGAATGTTTCCACATACACAGGCAGCTCCACATGCTTGACAAGCCACTGAAGAACATCATCTGTTGTCCAGTTGTACACTGCAATAGTCATTTATAATTCACTGTTGCATCTTTTCTTGTCCCTGGTAATGTACTAGTTCAAATGCCTAGTAAATATACCACCTATCCTCAGTAAGACTGAGATGCTTTTTTTGCTATTTTATATTCCACAGGATAATTCAGCAAAATTCTTTCTACAGTATGTGCACGAGATTGATTTGTCTTAGTCAATCGTCTTCCTACCTTTATGGTCCTGTCTATATAGGTCTGTTTTTTGTACCCTCCTTTTCACGAAGGCCTATTCTAAAGTTTCCTTTATAATTTACTTTCCTGTTAATAACAGTCTGTCTTTAACAGTCTGTCTTTAACATTCCATCTATATAGGCCTGTTTAAAAAGTTTTTTCGCTATCCTTTTCATGAAGGCTTATATTAAATTTTTCCTTTACTATCCTGATATTTACAGTCTACCTTGACCAGCTTGTTTTAAAGTTTTTTGTTAGATTCTTTTTATTAAGGCTTATTTTGAAGTTTCCCTTTACCATCCTTAAAACATTGACCTACCTTTACAATCTTGTCTATAAATGCTTATTTTTAACGTTTTTTTTTGGTTCTCTCATCTGGAATTTATAACTATCTGAGCTATACATAAGTGCTAATCTAAATCATGTTTGTCAATTCCCAATTCATCAAAACGTTTCTTTCCTAAAATAACTATCTATCTAAATATCTCAAGAAAATAGACATAAATCAATATAAACTTGAATAACACATAGTTTTAAACATTTGTTCTTTCATTTCTAAATCTTCATGATGCTTAAGTACATAAATTGCCTATATCATATATGTTTTTGAAAGCTAAGTAGAATTTCTTACAGGTTGTCTTTAAGTAATGTGTTTCCAGATAACAAGCTTCTCAGACATAGTGAAAGGTTACTAACAGTAACAAATGAGCAAGGATAATATCCTCATCAGTATCAGATCCTCATAGAATGGGCAACAGATGAGTATCTATAGGGACCTGTTTATACATCATGGTCAGTCTGGATACAGGCCAGCATTTCAGGAGGGTTATATTCCTATGTCCCTAAACTCATAACCAAAAACATAGTCTAAGTGGACGAGTGGAATAAACCACTGAACTCAAACTTGGAGAAGTTATATATCCTTAAAAATTCACCAAAAGATTTTATCTACTTTTTCTTTAGTTGGTCATAATTTAATATTTCAATGTTTTGTTACTGATGTCCATGTTGTAGAGGATTTCACATACATGATCCTGTACAAGAGATAAGCTTGTACGTTTCATTTGAACTGGTTTTACTTCAAAGTTTCAGTCTTTTCTAATATATGTTTACAACAAGAGGCCCAATGGGCCTGCAACACTTGCCTGATATATATACCAGCCAAATTTCATGCCTGTAGCACTTTTATTTCATGAAAAGAAGTTGTTTAAAAGGTTTTAACAAATTTGACCCCTATGACCTTGAATATATTAAGGTCATTTCTTCTCGCACTCTTTGTTGGACTTCATCCTAGGAACATGCCAGCCAAATATCATGCCTCTGGGCCTTTTAGTTTATGAGAAGAAGTTGTCTCTTCAAGCCAGATGAACTAAAAATATGAATTTTTCATTGAATTGCATCAAAATGTAAAAGAAGACAACACACTAGTTTTGATTACAAAGAGATGCTACACTGTACAGCTCTTGTATCAACTTGTAGTATTAGAAAAAGTCTTAAAGTGTTATTTCCTTGATAGCGAATGATTTTCATCTGTGATTCTAATTTGATGCTGTAAAATTAAAATATCAGGATATATATTTAAACATCTGTGATTCTAATTTGATGTTTGGTTTTTAAATACACAATTACTTAACAATTTGGATTCAGTAAATGCATTTTGTATCCCTTTCAGTAAACATATATACATGTTTCTGTAGACATAAACATTATATCAATAAAGAGAACAAAAAAAAAGCCAAGTTAACAGTATTCTTTACCTTTTAACAGGTCAAGTTCTTAGACCAATAGACCATGCAGATATCCTCAAACAGTATCATATATGAGAAAATCTAATCCTTAACTGTTCTTACTAATATTTCCATGGAGATATTTAAAGAAATTTGGGTAAACACTGATAACCAATGCTGATAAGGCCTCAAAATGTTGATGTTGTGTTATTTACTTGCTTTAGTATGAAGCTATCTCCCTTCACATGTATGTATCAGCAATTATGGCAGCATACAGCCTTAACTAATGATAATGTCATGGTTTTTTTTCAAAATAAGGTCAAATATTTTACCATGAATGATACCATCTATCTACAATGCTTGGATGAAGAAAGTCATCTCATAGTAAGATAGCATACATCCTTAACATCATTTAACTGTTTGTAGTGTTGCCAAAATAACAATCTAAGGCATTTTTGAGCCAACAATAGCTTCATAATAAGCTTTTACAGAATAAAGACGATTCATTACACAGCAACCAATGTGTTTAATGTATTGACTGGTCTAGTGTTATTGTGCCATTACTTTTAATATTCAAGAAAAATAATAAGCAAAAACGTCTTGTAAATTGAAAATGTTTATAAGTGATAATTCCCACCAGGTGCTCTACATTAGTCATATACTCACTGAGATTTTTATAAAGTAATGTACATGGTGTGTATATTCACCAATGTAAATGCGTCACATAATACTTTTTTGATATAACACTAATATTAACGAAACAATTATATTTATGTATCAATCAGATGGAAATGTAATTCAATAAATTTCTCATACAAAAAGATAATCTTGCCAAGTCAAGGATAGGGAAGACGTTTAGAATTAAACATTAATTAAATTTTAAAATCGTTTCAATCTTTGGGTTTTATCTTTTTAAACAGCCTTTACATATTTTGCTGAAATAACCAGCAGTACAATCAGTAGAAAATCTAGAACTTAAATGACTCACAAGTCTTTTATATAATTGTAAATTTGTATATTTTTTATAATTAAAATAATTATGTGTGGAACTCTTGACTGAAGGATTGGGATGCCACGACAGTTACTATGGAAATGGCTGTCTTTTGGTAGAGATTTTGTCTATAATGCTGGACTATTGAGGATTAAGTCCAGAACAGCAATTAACAAAGGTGAAGATATGTGACCTTCATTAGTATATTGGTTCACAGTCCCACACTGCACTCACTGGCCAGAGATAGACAGATATAGTGTTGGATAAGTGACCTTTATGTAAAGTAGAATGTCCCATACTGGATTCATTACTGTTACAGGCTATATTACAAGGTAATTAGGTCTGATTACAGCCCAAGCATGAGTAAGATAACTCCACAAATTACTACAGTCCTACAACCTCCTGTCAGAAGTCAAGGTCAGGCCAACTACCATGTAGTTACCCTAAATTAACCAGCCCTGCATGCTTACAGAAGAATAGGAATAGAAGTTAATCTTTAAGAATGAAAAGTAATATTTACAAAGATGTCTAGAATTTAAATTTTCCCCATTCTTGGTGATATGCCATAATTATTTGAAGGTTATAAATTATAATAACTGCCATAGAAAGTAACTTCACTGTTCTTCATATGTTACTGGTAGCAGTAGAGCTAACATATAACGTAATTATGATTAACTTGCCATAAAAAAATTGAAAGTATGGCTGATCCAATACCTATACTGTTGGTTGAGTTAATGTTTAAAAAAATCATTAAATGTCCATGGTGGATTGGATTATTATTTTTTTTTTTCAAAATGAGTTAAGAACAATCTTAAAAGAAAGAATTTTAAAACTGAATACAATTTTACAAAGGTTGAATATTATCTTACATAAGCGGTATATCAATTTTGTTTTTTTTTAAATGGATCATTATATGGAGTATTGTTTCTAACAGAAAAACCTTTTAACATAGAATAGATACGACACAAAAAGCTGTTTCTACACACTGTAATTAAAGTGTTAGTCTTATCACTATTCCATCATAGCTTCATTGTGTACTAGGTAACAAAAAAAAGAACCCCATGCCTGGTAATAAGCCCAAATGTAACTTTTACTTTTTTGTAGAATTACCAATGGAAGCTTTTTCATTGTCAGAAATTTTGTATTGATCTCTGGGGTTATGGCAGGATAAACTTCACTGCAACAATGGGACAATCCAACTGCACAGCACCGTACAGATCTAGAGGAAACTACATGTACTTAATGGGGTGAGAGTCAAAGGTTAAAACAGAATACTTAATGGGGTGAGAGAGTCAAAGGTTAAAACAGAATACTTAATGGGGTGAGAGAGCCAAAGGTTAAAACAGAATACTTAATGGGGTGAGAGAGCCAAAGGTTAAAACAGAATACTTAATGGGGTGAGAGAGTCAAAGGTTAAAACAGAATACTTAATGGGGTGAGAGAGCCAAAGGTTAAAACAGAATACTTAATGGGGTGAGAGAGCCAAAGGTTAAAACAGAATACTTAATGGGGTGAGAGAGCCAAAGGTTAAAACAGAATACTTAATGGGGTGAGAGAGTCAAAGGTTAAAACAGAATACTTAATGGGGTGAGAGAGGTTAAAACAGAATACAAAGAGTTAAAACAGAATACTTAATGGGGTGAGAGAGCCAAAGGTTAAAACAGAATACTTAATGGGGTGAGAGAGCCAAAGGTTAAAACAGAATACTTAATGGGGTGAGAGAGCCAAAGGTTAAAACAGAATACTTAATGGGGTGAGAGAGCCAAAGGTTAAAACAGAATACTTAATGGGGTGAGAGAGCCAAAGGTTAAAACAGAATACTTAATGGGGTGAGAGAGCCAAAGGTTAAAACAGAATACTTAATGGGGTGAGAGAGTCAAAGGTTAAAACAGAATACTTAATGGGGTGAGAGAGCCAAAGGTTAAAACAGAATACTTAATGGGGTGAGAGAGCAGAATACTTAAAGAGTTAAAACAGAATACTTAATGGGGTGAGAGAGCCAAAGGTTAAAACAGAATACTTAATGGGGTGAGAGAGCCAAAGGTTAAAACAGAATACTTAATGGGGTGAGAGAGTCAAAGGTTAAAACAGAATACTTAAGAGGTTAAAACAGAATACTTAATGGGGTGAGAGAGCCAAAGGTTAAAACAGAATACTTAATGGGGTGAGAGAGCCAAAGGTTAAAACAGAATACTTAATGGGGTGAGAGAGTCAAAGGTTAAAACAGAATACTTAATGGGGTGAGAGTCAAAGGTTAAAACAGAATACTTAATGGGGTGAGAGAGCCAAAGGTTAAAACAGAATACTTAATGGGGTGAGAGAGCCAAAGGTTAAAACAGAATACTTAATGGGGTGAGAGAGCCAAAGGTTAAAACAGAATACTTAATGGGGTGAGAGAGCCAAAGGTTAAAACAGAATACTTAATGGGGTGAGAGAGCCAAAGGTTAAAACAGAATACTTAATGGTGAGAGAGCCAAAGGTTAAAACAGAATACTTAATGGGGTGAGAGAGCCAAAGGTTAAAACAGAATACTTAATGGGGTGAGAGAGCCAAAGGTTAAAACAGAATACTTAATGGGGTGAGAGCCAAAGGTTAAAACAGAATACTTAATGGGGTGAGAGAGCCAAAGGTTAAAACAGAATACTTAATGGGGTGAGAGAGCCAAAGGTTAAAACAGAATACTTAATGGGGTGAGAGAGCCAAAGGTTAAAACAAAGGTTAAAACAGAATACTTAATGGGGTGAGAGAGTCAAAGGTTAAAACAGAATACTTAATGGGGTGAGAGAGCCAAAGGTTAAAACAGAATACTTAATGGGGTGAGAGAGTCAAAGGTTAAAACAGAATACTTAATGGGGTGAGAGAGCCAAAGGTTAAAACAGAATACTTAATGGGGTGAGAGAGTCAAAGGTTAAAACAACAAAACTGATAGTTATATCTTAGTTGTCCTTTAAAGTCTGGAAGAACTGATAGTGAATTTGCTTCTTTCAATTGATATGACAGCTAGTATGTACAATCTGAAGCTGATCAGAACTCAATGTTGTTAATGATATGTTTACTTCATATTGAAATTTGAAGCTAATCTATGGAAAGTTTAAAAACCAAAACATGATGATTGTTTATTTACACAAATATGTCAAATTTCCCAAGGACATAACCTGAGGGAAATATCATAGCGGGTAAAAAGATATTATATGTCACTGCATAAACTGTTTATTATACCAAAACCTTTATTCTACATTTTCAGGCTCATCATGTCCACTTACTGGTTTAGATTTGTATGATTTGAAGTTCAGGTTCAGGCTAATGTCTTTTAAATATTCTCTTTAACATTTCACAGACACACTGTTTTCTTGATATTATGAACTTTTTGGGTGGCAAAATTGCACCTATTTTCAATGTCTTTCACATCACAACATCAATGTATAGTTTGTTTGAATGTTATTTTGTAAGGATTTTGAACATGTGATCAAAGACACAAAACTCCTAATGATTTTGAGGCTGTGAATGGGTGACGTAATGATGTGGGTGACTCAACTATGAGCAAGCGACAATGTTTTGTCAGGCCATCACATGATCAAATTAATCCAATCAATATGCTTCCATATGAATTAGGTTTTCATACCTGTAGATTTCTTCCAAGCCTGCCAAAGGTCCCCGGTACTGATAAGTTTGTCATTGCCATGAAAAATGGACAGCCTTTCAAACCCTTCTGTATACTGAAGCTCATCCCGCATGAACTGTAATAGATAGCAAAACACATCAGCTGTACACAAATTCACCCATAATTGATAAATTCATTCTTTTGTTTTCCTGAAAAAGTAAGTGATTGTAATATGAAGAAAATTTTGATAGTGTAATTAACTTTGACAATCCCTCAATTCAATGGAGTGAAAAAGTTGACACAGGTTCCAGAAGCTGGTATAAGCTTGCCACATTTCTTAAGACTGAAGCTACTACAACTAGTTGCATTACCTGAAGTATTCCTTGACCTACATAACCTTGGACCGAAGTACAAATCTCTCTTTGATGTTTCCTGGGTTGTGTTGCTATATTTTGAATTAACTACATAAACTCTACCCTTACCTTTTAGCTTCCCTTCATTGGTTCAACAGCTGTTACATGTTTTGTAATTTATGATGGCAGTTACAATATGACAGATGATCTTTCCAAAATTAAGGAATAGCATTTCTCTCTAATTGAACAAATCTAATTGCTTATAATTGGTTGATATTAATGAATGTGATGGATGAACAAGGAAAACATGACAGGAATTGAGGATCCCTAAAACCTTTGATCAAGGCTGTTGTGTATTTCCTATTTTAGTTTAAGTAAGTTCCATTGTTGTGTGTCTTAAATTTGGTTAATATTTAATTAATGTGATGAATGGACAAATGAAACATGGCAGACTTCTAAAACCATAAATCCTCTCCTTTGTTGTGTAAAATTTATGTTACAACCCTTTTGTTTTGTATTTATCTTTTTTTAGATTTGTAATAAATCTGTTTGTTGTGTATCTAAAATATGGTTGATATTAAATACATGTGATTGATGGACAAATTATCCTCTCTGAGTTAAGCCCCTTTGTAGTGTATTCCATATCTGAGGTACAGCCCTTTGTGTATCTCCTATTTATTATCCTATCTTCTGAAGGAGCCTAAATTGGATTGAAAACTGGTTGCCAATAAACTGATGAATCCTGCCCCTTTGCCTGTTGTGATTGACTTCTACTACTCCTATCTCTTAAGTTATGCCCCTTTATTGCGTATCTCCTTAGCTTAGTCATGACCTTGACTGATTATAAAGGAATGTATACATCTGTAAAATTTGACCAGTATGCCAAAGGTCAGCTCACCAAGGACAACAAACAAGACATACCTGGTGTCGTCCACCTGTGATATACATTATAACAAAGTGATTGACGGTAATGCACACTTGCAATGGCAGTTAGGTTAAATCTTGAAGTATGTTTTTATTTCCATGTCACCTATCACCCATCTCTCCTGTGACTGAGAGACAGTGTGCCCAACAGGTGTTAGATATATGATTTAAGTCCTGAAATCATTTCTACTGTTGATCAGTCAAGCAGTTTACAGCAGGCACAGAAAACATTTTCTGTTACTCCAGGTATACATGTTTATTACCATCTAGAAAATTAGACATTTTTTGGGCAATCTTTCACCACAGAATGCCATTTTTGCATACATTAATAATATAGATGTAAACACCTTGAAAATACTGTCATGCATTCATACACAAATCCTATGATATAACATGCTATACAATGCATCATATTTATATCTATAAATCAGGTTAGGAAATCAATCACAACATCTTTGGAGTAAGTTGATATTGATTTATTTTGAACAGTCAACTGGTTTTGCCCTCTCCGGGCTTTATCAGGAAGCCAAGAGAGGGTGATGTTGTCAACTGGTTTTGCCCTCTCCAGGCTTTGTCAGGAAGCCCAGAGAGGGTGATGTTGTCAACTGGTTTTGCCCTCTCCGGGCTTTATCAGGAAGCCCAGAGAGGGCGATGTTGTCAACTGGTTGACGGTTCAAAATAAATTCATATCAACTTATTCCAAAGCTGTTGTGATTGATTCTCGAACTTGATTTTCCCTACTGCACAATCACAGTGCATACTTCCTGGTATCCAGCGGAGGGGTAACAAATCTTCTATTCTACCTACGAATCTGTACGGCGTTGGCTCTATCACCACTTCTATATCTATAAATGTTTCACTGCAGCATTTACTTCATTTATACCAACCGATTCTTTTATAACTCCATTTTAATTTTTTACACATTGTGGCAATAAGACTAGGTTTTACTGTGCTTCATAACTCCATTGTATACCTATGTATATTTACATGATACATAGTTATCAGACTTAACAATTGTATTAAAATGGCTTGATTATGTCTGTTTGTAAGGTTTATCATCCCCTACACATCGAGTCATTTTGAGGCAAGGTCTCCTGTAATAAATAGCTGGTGGCTTGTCCCCACTCAACAACATACTGGAAGCCAATGCATGTCATGCAGAGCTTAAGGATAAGGTGCCAACTCCAAGGAAACAACCACATCAGTACAAACCAGTGTGTTTCTCAGCATCCTAAGAAACATAGGAACAGCTACTGGTAGGAAGCTTGGAACCATACACCTTGGATATATTCACCTGAGGTTATGTGAACCAACACTCTAACCCTCTAAGCTATCTCCACCCCTTTGAAATGGTTGTTACTCTACTCAAACCGAACATTAGACTAAATAGTGTCAAATACATAATAATGTATGTGTGCCTTATCATCAATTTATCAGAAACAGTTTTAACTAGTGATTATTACCTGTTAGATAATCATGTCATTACTAATACCTAAATGCAATACAACAGCACTAGTGCTAGAAAAACAATACACGGCTCTGACTGTGATCTGACCTGTCATGCAGCTGTCACTCCACACATACTGATTCACTTACTAGTTCAAGGCCAGGGTGCTAGTCTGCGCATAGTTATATATACCAAGAGAAACATGTCGCAAACTAGTGAACAGCATCAGTGTGTGTGACATACCATAAAAATATGCCATCTTGGCAACTGGTTGTCAATTGCGTACCAGGGAAAATCATACCTAACCCTTACACAATTAGCTAATTGGTGGTACTAGATTGACACAAGTACCCACAGAAGCTCAATGTGATTACAGTTGTTCTTTCTGCCAAGAGAATTCCACATCCAACTACAATGATGCACAAATATAACAAGTCAATATTACAGTCAGCAAATCTCTTAATCAAAGATCAACATTATTTACTGCTGAAATATATGTAGGATATGGTAAAGTTGTGAAACTCTGAAAACTTTTTTCTGGTAAATCGCTTTTCTTGACCTAAAGGCTATAAATCTGATTACCACTGACATCCGGGCTAACAAGAGTGATTTAATACATCGTAAGCTGATAGCTTGTTTCACAATTGTTGTAGAATAAATAAAGTTTACATTATATCAAGGGTTTAATGCACAGTGGTCCTCAATGTTTCTCAAACCAAAACATGAAAATATCTTTATTGACAGAAAACAAAAATTATAAGACTACCCACAGGGATAAATTTTGTATACCAGAATAGAAATGTGTTGTCATTTTATCTATGTCTTATCTAATTTTTTCCGCTTTGGTTATAAAACATGCGTTTCTAGAATATTAAAGTTCTGAAAAAATAAGCGTTTCTTAAGCATGAATATTAAGTATGAGTTTATCTGTTGATATTACAGTACAGCTGAACTTTTGTTATATATAATGAAAAAAACAAACAATTATTAACACTAGAAATTGTGGCCTTTTCACCTAACAGAACTTCTTACCTAAAGGTCAATCATTTCCATAACCATGATAGATATCAGTTCAAGCAATTATCTAGACTCTAGAGCTTGCAGCTTCAGATTATTTATTTGTGTCCCACAAAAAGACTTTCTACATGTGACCCTTTCCTAAAAGCAGACCTTAACATCTGACACTATATTTTCTTACTACTATGAGTAACAATTGAACAAAATATGCAAATAACCAAAAATCATCGCCCTGTACCTCTACTGAAAAAAGCCATTTAAAGGTTTTGATCAAATTGATCCTGTGACCTTAAAAGTCAAGGTTATTCATAATATTAAAGCTGAAAACTAACATTTTGGACATCTTACATGTGAAATATTAAGGCTGTAGACCCTTGTGCAAAGTTTGTAATCAAAACAAGAAATGTTCAAATCTGATCCCTATCAAGGGACAGAAGTGCAATTTTCAGAAGAGTTTTAATAATACATTCAATAGCAATTGATCACAGAATGACAAATTTCATCACTGTGTGCCTCTTGGTTATTGAGAAAATACTACCGGTATTTAAAGATTTTCACATAATTGGATAGTGTGACCTTGAAAGTCAGTCAATGTCATTTATTTGGATTTTTAGACAAGATTTAATAAATGCATTTAAAAGCAATTATAACCAAAAATAGCAATTTTCAAATTTGACCCCTACCAGAACAGGAAGTTAAATGTTCAGACAAGATTTGATCAATACATCCAATAGCAATTGATGACAGCATGCATTTGACAAAATTCCATTCCTGTGTGCCTCTTGGTTATTGAGAAAATACATTTTAAAGTTTTTACATAAATGAATCAAGATCATTTATATTATCAAACTTGATAGCAAATGACCAGAACTTCCTAAATGTGAATATGAAGGGTCTTGGCCTTTAGAACCTGAGGAGAAGTTTTTCAAATTTTGATACCCAAAACAGTAAGTTTCAACCTTGACCCCAATGGAGAACTATGGAGAATCTATAATAACAATCCTCTTTTTCATATTTTATATTTGTTGATAAACAGCAATTAAATATTTCAAAAACTACTTAACCACTATATAACAATATAGTATGACATTTTTCTTTAAGTTGAAACTTACTGCATTAATCCAACAATATTTTTAAGAAATCACCTCAATAATACCTATTACATAGAATTATAAACACTTGAATTCCATTTGAATTATTAAATCCTATAATAAGCTCACTTAACTTTGAAGTATTGATGATGTGATGGCCCTTGAAGGAATTATTTCCAGATAAATTATACAGTATCAAAAACTTACAATATCTTCCAAAATCAGGAAATCTCTTTAAACTGCTTCCAAAATTTTATCCCTTCTATTAAAGAATGACAAAACCCATGTTAAAGACAAGTGTAGA